GTATGTTACAGACTTTTCATTAAGACCCTAAATAATCATATCAACTTGTGGAAAATGGGCATCCCATGACCCCTTTAGACTTTTATTATTATTATTATTAAACCCTAACCTAAGCTGCATTTTATGACAACATAACAATTAAATTACATTAAAAACATTAATTTAATTAATTTTCAACTTTGAGTCACAGTTATTGCCATTTTGCCTACTTCCATTTAATAAAAAAAAAAGACTGCAAATGTATTTAGAAATAAAACACTTTTTTTTTTCTAAATTAAAATATTTCAGACCAAAATATTTTCTTTTGAAAACTGTTTTAATTTCATAATCAAAAGGGTTTTCTTATGTCACCAATATAATTTATTCTTTTATATATATATATATATATATATATATTCATCCCATAATTCAATCCTGTTATCCAGACTATATCACTTGCTGACCAATGGATCCTCTGCAGTGAATGGGTGCCGTCAGAATGAGATTCCAAACAGCTGATAAAAACAAAACAATAATCCACAAGTAATCCACACCACTCCAGTCCATCAATTAACGTCTTGTAAAGTGAAAACCTGCATGTTTGTAAGACACGAATCCATCATTAAGGTGTTTTTAACCTCAACCCGTTGCTTTTGGCTAAAGTCCTCAAACCATAATATTACTTCCTCCAGTGTGAAAAGGTCGTCTAGTCTGAATCAAGAGAGAAATATGCACAGCTCAAGCACTGTTTAAAAGTGAAAACAGCTCTAAACAAATATGTTGGTAGATTTTGATGTGAGAGAACAACAGTGGATGGACTTTCAATGGCTGCGAATGGAAGTGTTATCAGGCAACCATCACATTTCGGTATTTTCAGCTGACACTGACCTGAAAATCAATTGTCACCTTTTGACAATTGATATTTATAGCAATATTAAAGCTGATTATGAATAAGTATTTAGTATTTTTGATGAATATAGAAGCAAGAAGTGTACCATTAGCAGAGTTTGTCATGTCAAAAGGAACATCTGCTTCAGAACTGCACTAACAAACTGAGATCTATGGAGAGTGCATATTGAATTTTGGTCTGTTAGTTGGTCTGTAGATTGTGCTTTTTTTATTTTTTATTTATACTCATTTATTTATTTATTTTTGGCATAGTATTTTATTGTTATTTAAAAATAAGTCACAAACAATTTATTATTTTATTCAATTTGTATTATTAAACACTACTGCAAAGCTGTAAAACAACAGTAGGCCTAAAAGCCCTACGCAAATAAAATAGACTTGACTAAATAGTCTCCCCTACTCATATCAGATTGCACTGATCTTTTAATGTTTGCTAATGAACTGTATTAAAAGTGTTACCCGCTTTTGCGCATTTCTATGGATTAGCCCTCCATAAAACTAAAACAAAGAAGTGTCATCGAAGCTTTTTTCCCTCGGATAAATGCATTGAGCTGTATTTCGCTGCTCTGCTCGGCTCTGCTGCAGTCCGAGTACGCAGCGGCAGCGCGAGAGCTCGAGCCGCACCGACAGCACAGCTCTGGCAAAATGCCTATGGATAATTTCATATTCGCACAATGCATCCTTTATTTTTTAGCCTTCGTCTTTGGCTTTATAGCTATAGTACCTCTGTCGGAGAACACGGAGGATTTTCGCGGGAAATGTCTGCTTTTCACGCGGGGATGTGGCAGAACGAGAACATCACGGTGTCTAAGCAGCGCTTCATCATTGAGGAATGGGGACCACAGCCCTCCTGCAGCTTCATCACCGCTCCTGCAGCTTCATCACCGCTGTCGGCATCGCGTCGCTCATCCTGTCCGCCGTACAAGCCTGGAGGCTGCTGCTCTTCATCTGCAAAGGCCACGATGAGTGAGTGATTGTTTCTTTCATCGAATTGCTTGTGAATTTGATGTCTTATATGTATTAGACCCGTGCCAGTGCGGTGGCTGGGATGCATGGATGCATGTCATATATATATATATGTCATATAGCAGCACAGAGGAGCTTCAACATTCGTTACATATTTAATTTTAAATACGATCTTATATGGGAAACATGTTCAATAACAATAAACTGTGACCCATTTGTCATATAGCAGCACAGAGGAGCTTCTACATTCGTTACATATTTAATTTTAAATACGATCTTATATGGGAAACATGTTCAATAACAATAAACTGTGACCCATTTGTGATTAAGTAGTTTCATTGTTTTAAAGAAAAATGTGTGACCTAATATAAAGTATAAATCAGCTGGTAGTGGTTCTACTGTATTTGAATGGTTTAGAACAGCTTCAAGTCAATGAATTTTGAATAATGAGATTCTTAATCATATTATTCATTGCTATATGATTCTAGTCTGTCCAGCCTGAAACCAAAGGCCAGTTTCCATTTAATAGACATAAACACCAGATATCCTACTCTTTTAATATTTTGTATATAAATAAATCACACATAATTCTCAGGTTAAGCCACTACAAAAATCAGTATAAGCTTTTGTTATTTCTATTATAAAACTACTTTTATTTTTTCCCCATTAAAATAATAAGTTTAATGGAAAATGATTTTATAACCGCTCAAATGGGTTATTTCATCCCAAATTGTAAATGATATAATCATTAAAATGTTCCAAACGCATATTATTTTGTTTCTTATGTGGAACACAAAAAGAGATGTTAGGCGGAATGTCCAAGCTGCTTTTTTCCCCCCATACAATGAAATTAAATGGTTACATACATGCTAAAAATAAATAAATAAATATAAAATAAAATAAAAATAAATAAATAAATAAAGTTGAGCACTATACTCCAGGTCTTGTGAAGCTATACTGTATAATACTGCATGTATGCCAAAATATAAAAGTTGTAAAGTTTGTGTAATGATAATGGCATCAAACATCATTCTTGCACATCTCATGACCAATCGTGACAAGCGTGAATGAGCTAGCGTGAATGAGATTAACTAAAACTAAAATTAAACCATACATGTTTTTTTACTTGAAATAAAATAAACGTTAACTGGAAAAAAAAAATTAAAAACCGAACTTTCAGATAGTTGTCAATGCAACATTGCTCATTTAAATTTAGTTTAACGATGTACTAAAATAGCTAAAACTAAAACTGAAATAAATATTAATAATAAGGATGTAACGATTCACTCAACTCACGATGCGATACGAAAATCCGTTTTTCTCACAATTTTTTATTTATTTTTTTTTAAACAAAATGAGATTTAAGAGTAATTATAAATGAAAAGATGAATCATCACATATTTGTATGGGTTTCATCCGGCTCGGGTGCATCGTTTCATCCCTAATTAATAATAAAAAATAAAAAAAACTAGATAACTATACATAGCCTTTTGGAGGATAAACAGTGTGAATGACTGTCCTTTGTCACTTTTAATGGAAAAGAGCAGCTCAGCATTCTGCAAAATATCTTCTTTTGTGTTCCACAGAAGAAAGGAAATAGCATGGGTTTGGAATAACTGGATAGTGCAAATGATGAATTTACTGTAGTAAAATCTCTCTTTTACCTTTCTTTACACAGCTCGATCTTCAATGCCTTCCTGAACCTGCTCATCAGCACATTTGTAGTGTTTGCTGTGTTCCTGTCCAGCACAATAGTCAGTGTGGGTTTCAATCTATGGTGTGATGCCATCACAGAAGGAGGCAGTATGCCCAGCAGGTAAGCATGACGCCGCTATTTTCTGCTTCTACAATGTATAAATGAACACTACAATGTATATAAAGCATGTTTTTAGACTGCCTTTATAGCTTGAATAGAGCCACAGTTAATTGGATAGGCCTGTTTTTCTCTGTCAGAGAGGGTTTGGTGACATTGAAATTAGCGAGAGGCTTTTGGCTCAGTTCACTTCAGTGACTTTTAAAGTTCAGTCACGTTTTAGTGTCCACAGACTACTACATTCTTTGAATATAAACCCTGAATGTGTCTGACAAGCAGCTTTGTTCTTCAAGTTTTTTATGAGCAATATCTACTTGATTAAATGTTGATTCTTCAAGTGTCTGTGAATCATATCTAACACAGA